CTTCCTTCCTTCCTTCCTTCCTTCCTTCCTTCCTTCCTTCCTTTCCCTTCCCTTCCCTTCCCTTCCCTTCCCTTCCCTTCCTGCCTTCCTTCCTTCCTCTTCCCCTCCCTCCCTCCCTCCCTCCCTTCCTTCCTTCCTGTCTGTTAGAGTGCAGCATTGCGGGTTAACTCTGCCCACAGTCAGGAGCTCGATCCTGATGGGCTCAAGGTTGACTCAGCCTTCCATCCTTCCAAGGGGGGTAAAATGAGGACCCAGATTGTTGGGGGCAATAGGCTGACTCTGTAAACTGCTTAGAGAGGGCTGTAAAGCACCGTAAAGCGGTATATAAGTCTAAGTGCTATTGCTATTATTATAAATGCCATTTTTTTTTATTTGGTATTAATTTGAAACAGTCTTCATCTGGTTTTTATTTACATCTCTCTGTATTATTTCTGTTAATAGTGAGAAAACCAGAATGTTTGAAGTCATCGGAGAAACTCTGGAGCATGATTTCCCTTCCTGGTTTCAGAAGGTTTTCAGTCTGGTCTCCAACCCTGGTGTGATCCTACCTTTCATTCTTCTGATGGTGTATGTACAACTTTTTTTCTCCTGTCAGAATGTTTATTCCCTCCCTTCCTTTTGTAAGTCATTAAACTTTATCTTTTCAACTTGAAGATGGTTGTTATACCAGTGTCATTGTCATCGTCATTGACTGTCATAAAATATATGCTTTCCCCACTTTAGGCTGAGCATCTACTATCTCAACGCTACATCAAAAGGATATCAGGCTATGAATTTGGAGCTCAAGAAGAAATTGCAAAATGTAAGAAGGTCGAAGACACAGGGCTGATTTTCTTTTTGCTCGCTACACAGAGTTTCTATCTATGATTTAACTATGAGATCTTCCTTTTTATTCTTCTTTCCCAGCAAGCAGAAGAAAACAAAAGGAGGAACAAGCAAAAAGCTCAGCAACCACAGGACAATGAAGAAGTCTCTGTTGAGACTCAGAACAATCCCAAGGGAGCCCAAGGTGAGGAACACTTTGGAATCTGTTCCTGCCCTTATTCTGAGTAGTTTTCTGTGGAATGATTCCTTCCTTATCATTATTTCCCATTGGTCCATCTTGCCCCAAAGCAGAAACTCCAGAAGCCAACCTGTAAGGGTAGCAGCATCATTCTAGACCAGGAGTGTCAAACTCAATTTCATTGAAGGCTGCATCAGGGTTGTGTTTGGCCACCGGGGGGCTGGGGTGGGCATGGCCAGGGTTGGTGTGGCCAGTTCAAGATGACTTGTCTTGGGAGCACCTGTGGTGGCCAAGTAGTATAGGTATAGGTATAGGTGTTTGTGTGTGTGTTTGTGTGTGTGTGTGTGTTTGTATAAAATATATTGTTAAGTAAGGGGCACAAATTTATGCAGTACACATGAAGTGGGCAATTGTGTTTAATATATTTAATTAATTTCATTTTAATTATATTTACTTTTTGTTCTGACATTAAAGTGTCTATGATGTGACACTAAAAGGACAAAACAGATTCTGCACCTGTGGTTTAAGCTGATGGTGGATTCTGGTCCTCATTAACTTATGCTGCAAGAAACCACAAGAGAATTTAGGAAGGGCTTTAGTTAGGAATTCACATTCGTATTCTGGGTTTTAAAAACCAGCAATTCTCTTCCCCACACCATTTCAGATAAAAACAAAGCAGAGAAGGAGTCTAAGAAGAAATCACCTCAAGAGCAGGAAGAAAGATCTGGTGTGTCCAATGGAAACCTTTCCCCACCCTGCAAAGGAAGAGGGGGTAGACCCACACCTCCCCCCCACATAGCAGTGACACAAGCACCAGGACTTCGAGGCAAAGGCATGAATGGCCACTCTGGAACTCCACCCGGTGGAACCTTTCAGCCAAGGATACCAGGATCACCTCAAAATTACCAATAAGAAAAACTTTCCAGCAATATGTTTCGATATATGCAATGCTGCAGTTCAAAAGTGAGTAAGAGTAATTATCCAGTATTAACCGTCAGGAAGAACCAGAAGGAATATCTGAGGTGACACAGCTAAGATTGCTAAATGAAGCATCGTAGAATGTATCAGAAGAAACCAGCTGGATCAAGCCAGAGATCTAGTCCAGTTTTTCAAGAAAACAGTCTGGATGAATTTGGGAAGCTCCCAAGCCTGTTTGGGAGAGCAGTAATATGCACCTATTGCTGCTTCTCAGCTACCGGTATTTAAGCAAGTGTTTTTCAGAAGTGGCAACTGTAAGATGGATTTTCATTCCTAGAAGTCCCCAGCCAGAATGGGGACCAAAGGCATATTGGGAACACAATAGCAATAGCACTATTGAGTTATTACCCCTTCACAGTGCTTTTACAGCCCTCTCTAAGCAGTTTACAGAGTCAGCATATTGCTCCCAATAATCTGGGTCCTCATTTTACCCACCTCCAGAGGCGGGTTCCTAACAGTTCGGACCGGTTCGGCCAAGTAGGTAGTAACTTGGCCTGCCACGCCCCTGAACTGGTTCTATTGGCACCACTGTAGGTGCCGCCATCTTGTTTTCTGCTTATGCGCATAAGCTCTTTTTTTACTACTGCGCATGCACACACCCAAAGCGTGCATGCACCCGAAGCGCGTCCCTGAGCGAACCGGAAGTGGAAGCTGGAACCCACCCCTGCCCACCTCAGAAGGATGGAAGGCTGAGTTAACCTTGAGCCTTGTGAAATTTGATCTACCAAATTGCAGGCAGCCGACAGGCAGCAGAAGTAGCCTGCAGTGCTGCACTCTAATCACTGCACCACCGCAGCAGCAACAATATTTCAGTTGAACTGGCATTTCCTTACATTTGGCTTCCAGGGATCTTTGAGCTTCAATCTGGGAAGCAAAAAACCATTATGTACATCACTATATCTATGCTATGTCTAGTTTTAGCCTGCTCTCTTGTGTGTCCCTTTCCCCTCTTCATTGTAAATGTATTTGTAGAAAAAGCCTATACTCATTTTGTGGTTCCCTTTTTGCAAATTTTCCAGATCTATGATTTGTCTCTTCAAGTGCAGTGAACAGAAGGAGACAGTCCCTAATGTTGCCTCCCCACAGATTTGCAGAAGGGCAATAGTCTGTGAATAGTTCTGTTTTCAGTTCCCTTCCTAATGATCTCAAGGATGGAATTTATCTTTGGTAGAGTAGGTCCCTATTTCTGGAATTCACCGTATCTGCAAGATCTCTTTCCCGCTCAGTCAAGGCAGTTTTGATTCCATCATGTATAGGTAGTCCTCAACTTGTGACTATTTATTTAATGACTGTCCAAAGTTATGATGGCACTGAAAAAAGTGACTTATGATCGGTTCTTGTACTTATGACTATTGCAGCATATCCCAAAACCAAAATCTGGTTGCTTGGCAACTGATATGTTCTCAAGAGTCCAAGCTCTGGACTGACACAGTAGGAAAATGCCACACACATGAGGAAGCAAACTGGGCTTATTCAGCCAGATTCTGGCATGCAGTGAGGTCATCATCAGCAAAACAGCCATCAGTAAAGTCTGCTAGCAAGTCTGTTAGATGCAAAGTCAGTACTGGGAGCATCCAGTGCCCCTAAGTAGGCAAGTCAAGCCTCTTCCCTGCGCTGGCCTTGCCCTGGTGATTGTCATGTGCTGAAGCTCCAGCCCAGCTGATTGTTGGGCCAGAACAGTTGTTTGTCGCATTCTTCATGCTGCCATACCTCCGCGCATCACAGCTGAGCCCTGCTGCTGTCTCCACTGCTGCTGAGGCCACAGAACCTATCGTGACTAGAAGTGGCCATCCACGCCATGCCTCCATGCCACACAGCTGGGCCACCTCCGTCGCTGTTGCAGCCATCTCAACACTCCCCATCACCGGTGGTTGCAGTGATGGTGGTCCTGAAACCCCCCATCACCCGTGCCCTTTGTTAGGAATATAATCTAACGGTTGGGTTGGCAATATATAAATCATNGATTATCCCTTAACTGAAAGACATTGATGGCTAACTGTCTTATCCGTGTATGACTTGGACTATTTGATGGACTCTGATACCTCTATTTCCACAAAAGTAAAAGCCTATTTAAACTGCAGTGTCTCTGTATGCTGGTTTGTGTGTTCTCCAACACAACTCTCACAATGCTTCTCTGAATGCACTCACTTTCCCAACGGGGAGCTTACCTAACACTCTTTCCTGCCCTGCTATGGCAAGCCCAGGCTTCGGAGCTTGACACATGTATTTATGATGGTCGCAGGGTCCTGTGATTGCCATTTGTGACCTTCCTAGCTGGCTTATGACAAGCAAAGTCAATGGGGAAAGCTGGATTTGTTTAACAATGGCAAGATTCATTTAACTGCAGTGATTCATTTACCAGACATGAAAAAAGGGCCATAAAATCAGGTGGAATTCACTCTACAGCCACCTTGCTTAGCATCTGGAATTCTGGTCCCAACAGTGGTTGTAAGTTGAGGATCACCTGCATAGGTAAAGTTTGGGTTACCATGGATCAGTTTATAAACCACTGATCTGCCTTTGCCATTTTGAAGGCCAAGTTTAAAGGGATTATTCCAGTGCTCTTCATAACCCTTTTTGATTTTTATAGCCTTAAACAACTTGGTCTCCAAAACTCTGATTACCTTATTGCCCACCCCAATGTAAGTTAATTTATATATATATATGTTAAAATATCCCAGTTATGTAGGATTGGCTGTTCTACTGGAAGATGAATGAAAAGAAATTGGATAGTATCTTTTCCCCTTAGTGCATAGAACTCTCTATCAGTTTATAGTTTCAAGTAATGACTCAGTATATAGTGCAGAATTAAGCAAGCAATCACTAAAAGGTTATATTTTGTTCCTGTTTGTTTCTGCCCTCTGCACACCTGTACAGAGTGGAATGATCTTTTCCATTTTCATTTCAATTGACCTCGAGATACTCCTTAACTGTCTCATCACCATTTGGTACAAACAAAGACTCCTTGGCCTTCATGGTCTTAACCTTGGCATGAATCTTCAACCTTGGACCTTGATTGCCTCATTCTAGCAGGGGGGCAAAGCATTCCAAGATAAGATAGTTTGTCCCCTCCTCAGTGAAATGAGACCATTGCAAAGCTTGTAATTATGGTTCAGAACCTATGCAGACATTACTTGACTGGTGAACTGTTGAGTTGTAAGCGTTCATCCATACAAACACACCTGCCTGAACCTGAAAGTTTGAAGAAGGCGGAAAAGTTAGTTTCTGGTGCATGGTGCATTAGCAACTAACCCTTTCCCACCTCCTGACTGAGACCTTCAAGGTTGGAGTTATGGGCACCATCAGGTTTTACCGAGATGTTGCCATGTCTGTAATAGCAATAGCAATAGCACTTAATCTTCTATACTGCTTCATAGTGCTTTTTCAGCCCTTTCTAAGTGGTTTTACAGAGTCAGCCTATTGCCCCCAACAATCTGGGTCCTCATTTTACCCACCTCGGAAGGATGGAAGGCTGAGTCAACCTTGAGCCGGTCAGATTTGAAGTGCTGAACTGCAGCTAGCAGTCAGTGGAAGTAGCCTGCAGTACTGCATTCTAACCACTGCACCACCTCAGCTCTAGTAAGGTACATATTTTTTATGCTAGCTGGACTGTGAAACAAAACAGACTTACGAACAACCTCTCAGGACATAACCTATTCATATGTAGAGCATTGTCTGTATAAGCTAGTTTGAAGCTGCCATACAATGAAACTTCAATTATGACTTAGCTAAGAGAGTGCTGAGAGTTTGCTGGCTTTCAAAGTGTCCATCTGCCATCATCTCTTTGGGGCTCCCTGGCTTGCAGAAGGGAAACAAAGTCATTCTTTCTTTGCTTTCTTGTATTGTTCATGAAACAAACAAAAACAGAACTCTACAATTTTAGAAACGATTGTGGATGATGCATGCCTACTTGAGTCTGAAACACATGCAAATCAAGTCTGCCAAAAAAAAAAAAAAGGAAAAAGGCATTTTAATTTGCTTTTCAGAGAATTGGCTCCAAAACACTCTTGATGAATAGAGAGGATTTTTAACTCCAGATGTTCCTTTCTTCTAAGTATCATGTCCTGCATCATACTGAATCCAGAAAATCCTCCAAAGTTTTGAAATAAAAAAATTGGGAAGCCTCAATAAAAAAAGAAAAAGAAAAATTAGAACTCATATCAATTTCACCAAAACACTGTAAACATTGTTAGCTTTTCAAAATACGTAGATGAGGCTAGCAAACCATGTAGGACATTACTACTTTTATTGTAGAGTTATTATAACATAACTAGCCGATAACCTGGCACTGCCAGATATTTATTTATCCTAATTCTGTATTAGGCTGGAGTCCCCTAATGGAGTACCGTGAAGCCATTACCATGGCAACTCCACTGTGCTGTACAGTAGATGCCATCTTAAGGCACAACAGGCTNGACACCTACAAGTCAACAAACAAAAATCAGAGGTAGTAGGGAGCATATTATAGTTAGGATATTTTGCTAGATTTGGCTTCAGGGTGTTTGTGCGTATCTATGTCTATGTTTCATAGTTTTTATGGGAGCACATATAATTTTCTTAAAATTACAACTAGTTTAAAAAAGTGGAGGGTTTCTGGTTGTTGATCATAAGGGCAATTGAAGGATTTCCAAACACTTTAAAAGAGTCTTGGTCAGTGGTGGGATTCAGCCAGTTCACACCTATTCGGGAATACCAGTTGTTAAGTTTCTAAACAGTTTGGAGAAAGGTTGTGGAAGAAATCTCATTTTGTTTTTCCCCACTTTACAGGGCTAATCCTGTAAGGAAACATTCTCGTATTGTTTCTAACCTAATCTTTATTGCCCTGCTTACAGAAACTGCCTCTCCAGTTAACCCTTATTACATTGTTACAGCTAAGGCAAAGCACCCTCGATGTGACATTGAGTTGGTCACGCCCACCCAATCACAAGCCACGC